CAAGATATGACTTCCTTAGGTATCTATGTTTGTGAAGAAGCTTCATAGTCACTTGAAATTTGGAATTACGAGTCCGTGTTGCAGTCACAGGTTATTACAAGCCAATTTTCACCTTGAGGTTCAAATAAACAATACGCCGTGATGTATCAGCCAGCATAGGGCCGTTGGATACTCTCCCTAATATTATGTACTCTTGGTATTAATTACTGATGTACCCTCAGTACTCCAAACTCCTGCTGCCCTCAATTTAATGTTTTACTTTTCTTCTCTCTCTATGTTAGTACTGTAAAGTTCTTTAATAATAATAATAATAATAATAAACTATTTACTACCTGCAAATATCGTTCTATTCTTGAAGAAAGTGACAGAGAAGCTCTCTTAGTGCTACAGTGAAACTTGTCTTAACGACCACTTGTATATAAAGACCACTCTTCTATTGCGACCAGATCATTTGGTCCCAGCCATTTACTCATTCAACTACATAGTAAATTGCCCATCTAATGCGTCCACCTGTCTATTCCGTTATCCGACCGGTTCTAGATCCCCTGTCCATAGCCTCCAGCTCCTATGTAAATTTACTTCTCTATAGTGACCAGTGGGTGTGGCCATTCAATTAATTGAATGGCCGCACCCACTAGATAATTAATTGACCAACCACTCCTACTAGATTTACATGCTGCTTTGCTTTGATCTCTTTTATGCTTTCTTAGAGAAAGCTACTCAAGAAGAAGAAAACTACTCTTAGAGACTGTTATTGATAACTAGATATATCTGTATAGAAAGAAAGAGTGATGTATTAGCTATTCAATGTGCATGTGTGCATTGAAAAGATAAGTGGACCTGCCTATAAGGACCGAAACATATATAAAGGGCTATGGTCTCTTTAGACAGAATACCCTATCCAAAGACCACCTCTCTAATAAGACCAAGTTTCTCTGGCCCATAGGTGGTCGCTTTAGACAAGTTTCACTGTACCTTTTCTGCAACAGCTGAGCGTTACAACAGTGTCCGCGCCTAATCAATTCATATCTATGGGATCGCGTGATCAGTTTCCAATCCCGGTTACGTAGTCTATAATATCTGTGATAATAATAATAATAATCTAACCGAATCCGACAATTCCGACAAGAACAAGATTAGACTTCAGTGTCACAAGACATCTTATAAGATCCATCCCAATGGATAAGGCTGGGGAATCGGTGATGGTCTGGCTAAGGACTATTGGGAAGCAAGTGTATAGCTTGGCTACGAGACTAGCTACGTCTGTACTTGGTTTCGCTAGCCAGACCCAGACCGTTGTCTCAAACAAGACATATTATCTTATAATATCCATCCCAATGGATGAGGCTGGGGAATCGGTGATGGTCTGGCTAAAGACTATTGGGAAGCAAGTGTATAGCTTGGCCACGAGACTAGCTACGTCTACACTTGGTTTCGCTAGCCAGACCGTTGTCTCAATTCCAGAGATGGAAACCCAACTGGAAAAGAGCTGTTGCATGCTTTCGAATAACGTTGATGAGGCCTCTCAAGGAACTATCTTCCAACACCAGGGGCCGCTTTATCTTTTGACCTGCCACCATGTAATTCCATCAGGAAAGAAATCTTCTGGTTGGAGGGTCAGTATTTACCCGGAAGAAAGCAATGATTTAGGCAAGGATAAAAGCATAGGAAATGGCGAACGATCCGAAGATTCATGTTTAGATCTATGTTTAGATGAAGGCATCGTGGGTAGAGCTATTAGTTGCTGTGGAGAGGATGGAATTCTTGGGAAATACGAACACTTCAATAAACCGTGTCCATTTGATCTGGATTTCATTTTACTAGAGCTGAACAGTTCAAAATTAGAGAAAATGCGCTCCAAGTTTGTGGATTTACGACCCAGTATTGATGCTATAAATGTTCTAGAGCGAGATCAAGAGCCTAGTAATTTCTTTCAAGATAGCAATGTGAGCTGTTTCTATATGAGAAAAGGTAAGTTAGTTATTAACAAGGAGCACTATTTTTCCTTTCCTACACTTCCCACTGGTCCACTAAAAGTAACATTGTTGAGGGATTGGAGTTATCAAGTGTCTTCTCATGAATTTGTAAAGGATGACGATTCTGATGTCTGTGGGGGTTTTTCATCAGGTGCTCCGATGTATGCAACTCATAAAAGCAATCAACCTGTGCTTTATGGGATGCATACATGTCATGGAGGTGAAGAAGATGACGATGTAATATCAGATGAATTCCTACTAGTCAAATCATTTAATACAAATTTTATCTGGGTTCTCTATTTAATCAATTTATATTCTAAAAAGGGTTCTCCATATTTTCCTGATTTTCCTCTCAGAAAAACACCCATGCACATACCTCTATTGTGGGCAGTTTTTTTGCGATATGAAAAAAATACCTCAATGCTAAAAGAGGGAAGTTTGCTTGTGAAAATAGCTCAAGAAATATATGATGATTTGGTTCGTTCCAGTCATGCTCAAGCTCAATTAGAAGGAGAAGAAAAGAAAATGTTTGATTTGGTCGAACAATTTTGTAAGTTATATTTTTTCATGTAAAAATTGATTATTGTACATCTTATTACTAGTGACTTATGAAGACCCAGAAAAATCCTTTGCTATTGGATTAGGTATGTACTGAATGTGCTATTAATAATAATTATATTTTATCAATTTTCAGAGGGAGCCAGTATTGAATCATCTCCAGAAAGTACTTGTCCAAGTCAGACAACAGGCTTAGTCTCGCCGCAACAGTCATTTGCCACCGAAATGACTAGTGGAGGGTCTGGGCAACGACACTACAACAGGCTATGTTTCAGACATCAACAATTCTGATTCAGGTATATTGCAATATTAACCATGCTCCTCATTATAATATCAAAAATAGATAACATCCCTCCTGAAGACTTATAAAGCTTGCAAATATGAAATGTGTAATTTTTACTGATAATACCACAAGACTCCAGAACTTTGTATTTAACTATCTTTTATATTGTTTATACTGTCCACTCTTGCTTATACTTACTTCTACCATGCCTAGTTGTAATTGACCAATCAGATTGCTCAATTTCAAGTTCATAAATAACTTACTTACCAACAAGTTTCTTGGGAGGTTGAATAAGTAGCTCGAGGTGAATAAGTAATGTCCCGAACAGTCGGAGGTCGAATAAGTAGCCCAAGGATTTACTTATTCACCTCCTGTTTCAAAAATGCATTACTGTTGCCAAGAGTAGCTACTCTTGCTGTTGCTAAGTAAACTAGTTGTTTTACTTGTTTATTTAGTACATGGTAGAAGTTGGTCATTCTGTGTAGGTATCTATGGCCTTATCATACCTCTGGCCTATGGCCTGAGGTATGATAAATGCCATAGATACTTCCACCTCGTTGTATAACCTTTACTTATACCTTTATTATACCCATTATTATAATAGTTAAGATAAAGTAAAACAGTTGGAGAATAAACGTGTGGTATGTTTAGACCCACACAAATGCCTGGTTTATAGCCTGCTTTTTTACTTTTGGGACACAATATCCTGAAGCAAAGGTTTGGATTTGCCATCACAGGGTAGAATATGAAATATTTCTCAAGCAATTGTGGCTATAGCTTCCTATTGAATAACTTAATCATACCACTACCTCCTCATGAGGATTGTATATTAACATATTCTTGTTGTGTTCCCATTACGACTGCAATGGTTGATTTTAGCTAAGACTCGCCTCACTATTAGTGAGGCAAATTATGCTCCAATTATGCTAGCATAATAATTTGCTCTATTATACTCCAAATCCACTACATAATTAGCCTAGTCCTACTCATTAATTATTGTCATTAATTAAAAGAATAAAACATCAAACAAAGGTTACACCAGGTAGGCTATAAATCAAAATGGCTGTAGAGAGAGAGTGCCATCACAATAAGAAGCAGTAGAAAATCATTGCAGTACAATAATAGCAAATGTGTGCGTGTTTGTTGAGTTTCAAAAAAAGAAAAAAGTTATTTGTCATCTTGATCGAAATTAATCGGATCTTCATCATCCTCCTCCTCCTCTTTGTCTTCAGAATAGAGCGGCTGGAACCGAACAGCTAAAAACAAAATAAATTAAATACAATACACATTAATCACACATTCATTATAATATGTATTATTATTATTATTATTATTATTCAACAAACAAGACAAAACAAGTTAAAAAAAAAAGTTAAAAGAAATAAAGGAAAATTAGATAATATAATGTATGTAGCTAGTTAAGGTAGATTATTTTGAGAAATAATTTAATATCAATATGGTCAATGAAAGTGAGAAATGAGTCCACTACCATCCTCAAATCCCAATCCTCTCCACTTAGAATGGGAACCACGCACACACAGATTAGTGGCACGTACTAGAGAGAGGGACAGTTTTGATCTCACCCAGTAGAGTACAGTATTATAGTTGAGATCCCACTTCATAGATAGTCTCACTGATAGGTGCTTGATAAATCGTGACATTTCAGGGGCTAGGAGGCCATCAATAGTCACACAGAGAGAGTGAATGTAGCATGACGGCTTTCATAGTCTGCTCCATATTTCAGTTTC